ACGCCTTTGCCGTGTTTTGTTATTCCCTGGGGGGGCCTGTGCCCAATCCACTTAATCCGCCTTCCTACTTCAAGCTTTTACTGACTTCTTCCGACCGACGTGTCATCACAACAGACCCTCCTTGCCCGGAGCGAACCGGCTTCGTCTCAACACCCGCACTGGGCTCTGGCCTCCGCTGCTGGCCCCCCATCCATCATGGGGGGGGGGGGCCTTTGCGCCCTGGCGCCCTGGGCCGGAGTTCTCGGGCGCCGGTGTCGTTTCACCGACCCTTCTCCCGATCCCCACCCCGATCCTCACACATGCCCGCGTCGTGAAAAAAAAAATCAGGACGGAGGCGTTTCGATGCTCTCGGCCTCTGGATGCCCTCCCCGGGCCTCGAGACCGTCAAAAAACGACTCGGGATGAAAAACCGGTCCCCGTGAATGGGTCGGGACTTTTGGGTGCCGTGTTTTGGAAGAATCAGGACATCGCATGTCTGGGTTCGCACCCCAATTGCCCTGGTTCCCTGGGCCAGAGTTTGGGTGCCAGTGTCTTCTCACCGATCCCTCTCCCCACCCCCATTCCCACCACGATCCCCACCACCACCCCATCCAGGTAAATCAGCCGGTGGGGCCCAGGCCACGCCGAAGGAGTGGGGGGTGGGTGCAGAAGCGGGAAGTGTGTGCGCCGCTTCTTCTGGTCGTCTGCCCTTTTGTCCGTCGTCTGTGCTGCCGCACTCTCACCCCCAGTGCGTTGGGCGCCGCCGAGATGTTGCGCAAGCGGCTGCCGAACAACACTGGGGGGAAGCCTCGAGAGCCCCCCGCACCAGCAGACCCCGGCACCCCCGCGGGCGGTCGGCGTCGTGGTCGCGGGCATGATCGTCGTGTTGGTAGCGGTGGTCGGTCGTTGTCGTCGAGGGGGGGGAGGGAGGGCTCCTCGGGAGGCTGGGACGGAGGGGGGGGGGGCGGGCACCGGCTGCACGTGAAGAGGGGCCCTTCGCGAGGAGGAGGAGGAGGAGGAGGAGCAGAGGAGGAGGAGGAGGAGGAGGAGGAGGAGGAGGAGGAGGAGGAGGAGGAGGAGGAGGAAGAGGAGGAGGAGGAGGAGGAGGAGGAGGAGGGGGCCACTCCTCGCTCTCGGGCTTGCCCCCGCGCGTGGCCGAGGGAAGACAGGCGCTGACCATCTCCAGGGTGTCGCGGGAGCTCGCCGAAGCCGATCGTGGTCATGGCCCATGCCAACCGCTGATGGGCCTGCTTTCCACCACCACCACCATGAGTAGGAGGGGGAGGGGGTCCTCCTCCTATCCTTATTCCTTATTAGAATACACTCCTACTCCCCCCTCAGGCCGGCAGATAGGGGCCCCATCCGGGTGGTTCCATCCTAACCTATAAAAAACAGTACAAAATCAACATTTTTCTTATTTTTTCCTCTCGACATGGACGTCCTGTCGTCCACGGCGATAATCCATTGCAAAAAATACCACAAAGAGCACACGCGCGCGTTCATGTCAGAATCCTACCGAACACCGTGTGTTTGCAAGCATTTCAACATAAAAACAAAAAAACAAAAAACCCAATGCTTTTTCACAAACATTCTACAAATTTCCTGCCCGGGCTCTCTTGCTGAAATCATAGGAAAACCATAGGAATCTGAAGAATTCGGTCGAATCCAGCGATTTCACGCCATCGCGCGGTGCACTCGCGGTGCTCTGTCATGCACCCAGGCCGCGAATCTTGTGCAAAAAATACCACGCGGGCGACATGCGCGCGCGTCGCCGCGAGCGCATGCTCAAATCCTTCTAGAGTCGTCGCCGTCATTGGCACCGTCGCATGGACGTCCTGTCGTCCACGTCGCAAAATGCATGGCAAGAATGGGACGCGGCGCACACCCCGCGCCCGCCCATCCAATCCGTCCCATTCTAATCTGCAAAAGACAATACACAGTTTTTGTTTTTCTTGTCAACATGGTCGTGCTGTCGTCACGTCGCAAAATGCGTGGCAGGAATGGGACGCGGCGCACACCCCGCGCGAAGGGGTGACATGTCGCTCTCGCCTCGGCGCCGCGCACCAACGTTTTTCCTCTCAGCATGGACGTCCTGTCGTCCACGTCGCAAAATGCTTGGCAGGAATGGGATGCGGCGCACACCCCGCGCCCGCCCATCCAAACCCCCCCGTTATAAAAAAACAATACAAGTTGGGGCCTTCTGGCTTCCTGCGGTGTACCGGGCCATCCTCGACTCGTCTGGCAATGCGTGCGCGGCATTCAACACGCGCTCGCCAGTTCCCGTCGGCAACCGCCATCGCGGCCGCATCAGCTGTACCAAACCGGCTGGCCGGTGTGACTTCGGCCCCCAGTTGTGCCAGCTTTGCTTCTTATGTTGTGGGAGGGCGGGTGGGACTGGGCATGCCATGCTTGACTCGCTCGAGCTGGCTAGACTCCTACTCCTACTCCTACTCCTATCCTTATTCCTTATTAGAATATACTCCTACTCCCCCCTCAGGCCGGCAGATAGGGGCCGCATCCGGGTGGTCCCATCCTAACCTGTAAAAAACAATACAAAATCAACATTTTTCTTATTTTTTCCTCTCGACATGGACGTCCTGTCGTCCACGGCGATAATCCATTGCAAAAAATACCACAAAGAGCACACGCGCGCGTTCATGTCAGAATCCTACCGAACACCGTGTGTTTGCAAGCATTTCAACATAAAAACATCAAAAACCCAATGCTTTTTCACAAAAATTGTACAAATTTCCCGCCCGGGCTCTCTTGCTGAAATCATAGGAAAACCATAGGAATCTTAAGAATTCGGTCAAATCCAGCGATTTCACGTCATCGCGCGGTGCACTCGCGATGCTCTGTCATGCACCCAGGCCGCGAATCCTGTGCAAAAAATACCACAAAGAGCACACTCGCGCGTTCATGTCAGAATCCTACCGAACACCGTGTGTTTGCAAGCATTTCAACATAAAAACATCAAAAACCCAATGCTTTTTCACAAAAATGCTTTGGGGTGTCCTGTCAGACCGTCGGGCTTCCTCCGGCCACCTCTGGCTTCCTGCGGTGTACCGGGCCATTCTCGACTCGTCTGGCAATGCGTGCGCGGCATTCAACACGCGCTCGCCAGTTCCCGTCGGCAACCGCCATCGCGGCCGCATCAGCTGTACCAAACCGGCTGGCCGGTGTGACTTCGGCCCCCAGTTGTGCCAGTTTTGCTTCTTATGTTGTGGGAGGGCGGGTGGGACTGGGCATGCCATGCTTTACTCGCTCGAGCTGGCTAGCTTGACTCCTACTCCTACTCCTACTCCCCCCCTCCTCCCGCCCTCCAGCTTATGGTGGTGGTGGTGGTGGAAAACAGGTCCAGGCCAACCGCCGCTGGGGCGCGAGCAAGGTCTGCGAATCGGCGTCGACCAAGATGGACGGTGACCGAGATCGGCACCGACGTGTCCGCGTTCGGTCTTGGTCATGGGTCGTCGAGGATTATGATGTTCCATTTCAACTTACTTTAGCCTTGATCACCGGAATAATTTCGAGCACCGGAACAAGTACCAAAACTCGAGGGTTTCACGTGTCGGGCCCCGAGAAACACTCGTCCGCCTCTGTTTCGACACTTGTTCGACACGTTTCCGGGTGCTCGACATTATTTCTGGGATGTGGTCCTTGGCATCGCTCGGACGTGCGCACGTTTCCCTCAGCGAGGGCCATCGAGGAGCATCCTTGACCGTTTGGCGAGAAGCCACGCACGAAACCGACAACAAAAAAACACAGGGGATGGACGTCGGAGCGATGGCGAGGTGGTCCTTCAGCACGACGGGAGCAGCACAAGTCGAGGAGCGACGACTGCTGAGACAGACAGTGGTCGGAGGCCCGCGCGGGTTTCTGGAAGCGGCGTTTCGACGGGCCCTCCCCGATCCTTGCCTCCTTTCGGCATGCGTATGTTGCAGCATGTTCCCGGTCCTCTCAGAGGGCCAGCGCGCTACAGGCGCGCCTGCCTCCCTTGCAGGGACGCCGGCCCTTCCCGGCGACGGCAGTTTCGTTCGTTCGTTCGGGGGTGGACAGACCTCCTACCCGGACACGTCGATTCAGGAATCGGCCGTTTTCCGTTCGCGAGGGGGCGTCGCGGCCGTCATGTTGGCGGGTCCAGGTCCGTCGGTTTGGGTCCCAGGACGTCTTCACTAAGGGGAGGTTTACCAAAGGGAGGTTTGTCCGCCGCCGAATGCCCGAGGCCAGCACGGAACAAATGGGCTTAAGGCCCAGCAGCGAACGTTCTCCAACACTGTCATGGGTCGTGGTCGTCGTTTCTAGCTGGGGGTATGTCGACCCCTGTCCCAGACTCTGTGGGGCCTTCGAATTGACCAGAAATCTCGGGCCAAACCCTGGGATGTACGATGAGGGTGCGTCCATCCTCGACAGGCGTGCGTCCAAAATGGCCCCCTGGGGGTGCATCCCAGGTCTCCCCCTTTTTCTGAGCGGCCATCAGCTTTTCGGGCGGAACTCGGGAATTGGGTGGGAAAAATCGCCTGCGAGCTTTCTTTCCCTCCAGTGCTCGAAGAAGAAAAAACGCTATAAACATAAAACTTTCGGCGCTCCGCTCGGATTTCTTGGATCTGCGCTGGGCCCCCCTGGCGACGCCTCCGACGCCGCCCCTGGCGCGCTCCGCGCGCCAGGGAGGGGGGTCCAGCGCAGATCCAAGAGATCCGCGCGCAGCGCCAGAAGTTTATGTGCCTATAGCGTTTTTCCTTCTTCTGAGTGTGGCCGCGGTGATCGGCTTGGACCGGCGGCGCCATGGTTTTTTCATGACGTGGGCCTCCAGCGGTCTGGACCCACTCCCCGGGACCGGCTTCTCATCCCGAGTCGTTGTTCGACGGCCCCGGGGCCCGGTGAGGGCCCCCGGGGGCCGGAAATGGGGAAAGCCTCCCGTCGCGACTTTTTCCCTGCCCGAGGGGGTCCGGGGCCGGCGCGGCGGCGCTGCAGCCGCCGCCCTGCGGCCCCCGCCGGCCCCGCCTGCCGCCCGCCACCCGCAGGCCCTCGGCACGGCCCAGTTCGGCTCCGACGCCCAAGGCCGCGAGACGCACGGGGGGGCAGCGGGGTGGGAAGGGGGGCGCCGCCTGCCTGCGGCGGAGGCGCGGGGACAGGGCCCTCCTCCTCCTCCTCCTCGCTCCTCCTCCTCGCTCCTCGCTCCTCCTCCTCCCCGCTCCTCCTCGCTCCTCGCTCCTCGCTTCTCCTCGCTCCTCGCTTCTCCTCCTCCTCGCTCCTCCTTCTCCTTGCTCCTCCTCCTCGCTCCCCGCTCCTCCTCGCTCCTCGCTCCTCCTCGCTCCTCCTCCTCGCTCCTCGCTCCTCCTCGCTCCTCCTCGCTCCTCCTCGCTCCTCGCTCCTCCTCGCTCCTCGCGCCTCCTCGCTCCTCCTCCTCCTTGGATCGCCTGCGGCCCGGGGGGAAACCGTGCAGAAAGACGGGGTCTAGGGCTCCTGTCATGTTTTGTTTTTTTCCGCGAGGCCTCGATTGTTCTTCGAGGCGTCGGATCTTGGGGGGGAAGGGGAGGGAGATCGGTACGGTGGAGACGGGCACGGGGGGCGGCGACCAGCATGAAGTCGGGCCTGTCCCTCTACAGGAGGAACATTCAAACATAGTCCAAACATAATGTTCAAACGTAGTCAACCATAATCTGGGGACGTTTTTTTGTTGTGTATTTTGTTGTTTTGTTTCGACAAATTTGTCGAAAATCCGCCTGTAGGCGGACATGCCCGACCTAAGACCATCAGCCCGCCGTGTCCGTTCGGGGCAGGGCTCGCCCGTCGGTGCCCCCGCGGGGGCGCCCGTGCGTCGGAGGCGGGAGGCCGCCTTGGTGCAGCAGCGGCCCCGGGCGGCTGTGGGCAGCAGTCGCTGCTGGGCAGCGTGCCCATCCTTTCTCCGTATCCTCAGAGCGGGACTGTCCCTCGACAGGAGGAATATTCAAGAATAGTCAACAAGAACAATCAGGGGATTGTTTGTTGACTATGTTTGAGCATGTTGGGTGTATTTTCTGAGTATGGTTCATTTGCCGCCCAAAATCCCCCTGTAGGGGGACAGGCCCGACCTAACCGTAACCCGTCTCGTGTGTCCAAGGGGGAGGATCGACGGCGCGCAGGCGCGCACAAGGTCGAAGAAGAAGAAGAATAATGAAGCCACCAGAAAAAAAAACGCGATAAGCATAAACTTTTTGTCTCGTGTGCCCGGAGGGGGGGACCGACGGCGCGCACAAGCCGAAGGCGAAAGAACGCCGTCGGCATACTTGTTGTTGGCGCTTCGTAAGGATTGCTTGGATCCGCGATGTCCGGCGCCTCCGGCGCCGCCCCTGGCAAGCTCTGCGCGCCTGGGAGGGGGTCCAGCGCAGATCCAAGTAGTGCGTGCGGAGCGCCAGAAGTATATGTTCATGTTGTTGTTCTGTTCTTCTCCTCCCCCCTCCTCCCCTTCTGGGCCTCCCGAGCAGACGGGGGTCGGGGGAGCGCGCCGCGCTGGCGCGCTCCGCGCGCCAGGGAGGGCGTGTCCAGCGCAGATCCAAGAACTCCGCGCGGAGCGCTGACAGTTTTGCTGATGCCTTTTGTATTTCTCCTCTCGCATGACGTCGGGCCTGTCCCTCTACAGGAGGAAGATTCAAAAGTAGTAAAAAAAGTGTGGGGACGATGTGTTGAACACTTTCGGACCATTTGGGTATATTGTTTGAGACTATTTTCAATTGTTCGCCTAAAATCCCCCTGTAGGGGGACAGGCCCGACCTAACTCTAGCAGGGGCGTGGCGCGAGGGGGTGGCCTCGCCATCAAGCAGACGGCTACCAGTTTGAGACATCTCCCTGTCCCTATGTCTGGCACCACCTCGCCTCCATGCCGACCTCAAGGATCCCCCTCAGCTTCTGAGGGCTGCTCCCTCAGACCGCCCTCGCTTGTTGCTCGCCCGTCTTAGGGCTGGGGATCGGCTCGGGGCGGGTCAGACGGGGCGCCTCGGAAGCCAGAAGCCCCAGGGGCCGCTCCCGAGGAGGCCTCCGGCCTGCGGGAGGAGCGCGCCGCCCCTGCCCGCCCCCGAGCGCTGGCGGAGAAAAGGGCGCCCTCGGGCGGCCCCCGCTGCTGCCGGGGGCGCGTCGGCGTTCGGCGCTCGCTTGAAGCCGGGCGTGTCCCTCCGCATGAGGATTACTCAGAAATTGCCCCCAACAGATAGTCTGGGGGGTATTTTTTGGATATTCTGAAATATTGTCCCCCCCAAAAAAAAAGAGGATACGTTTTTGTGGGGGCAATTTTTCAGTTTCTTCCAGTCTCCGCCTGTAGGAGGACGTGCCCGACCGAACGCTCGCTCCCCGCAGAACCGCGGCACGGCGAGCTCTTTTCGAAGATGTTTTTTGTTGACTCTTTGTCATTTTCTTCCAGGCTCCGCCTGTGCAGGAGGACATGCCTCACTGAACGCTCGCCCTCCGCAGAGCCGCAGCACGGCGGGCTCGTGCCGTGCCGACCTCGGCGTGGAGTTGTCACCGCTCGCCGAGCCATCTCGACCCAACCCGAAGGCCCCATACCCCCCTCGAAAAAATCGGGTTGGGGGGGTGCACGGGTTCCAAGGTGCTTTCCCGGCGTTCCCGAATGTCCCCCCCACTGGGAATTGACAGGCCTAAGGGGTGCACGGGTTCCAAGGTGCTTTCCCGGCGTTCCCGAATGCCCCCCCCGCTGGGGATTGACACGTCTGATGGCGACCTCGGGGTGGGCTGGGGTGGTTTTGGGGGGCAGTGAGGTTTCTGACACTGGGGGGATCGTGCCACCTGGAGCGATCGGCCGTTTCTGAAACGTCAGATCGTCCAACATTGATTGATTCTGGGTCGAAGGCGGCGTTAATCGTTGAACGGCGGCGGCGGGTCGCCGTTGGTCGACACGGCGCGAACCTACCGTAGGGGGCAGCATCATCAGAGCGACGCAGGAAATCGCTTGCGCGCGACCTTGCGCGTAAGCTGCCCGTGCAAGGTCGCGCGCAAGCGCCCTCGTTTCCAGTGTAGCATGCCGCTCTGGTGGCCCGCGTAAGCTGCAGCTTGAGGCCGCGGAGTCGTCTCGCACAAGACCCGAGAATGATCATCGCTGACATCTCCGTGCTGCAGGTGTGGGATCCACTTGTCGGCGGCGAGCCTGGGGGGAAGCGAGAAAGGGGCGGGCCTTCTAAGAAGGAGCGGAAGGCCTCGGAAATTCTGAGAGGTGTCCTCACCCTTCCCCGTAGACGCAGAAGACTTCTCAGAAGGCCCAAGGGCTTCTGAGAAGCCCCGCCTCCCCCCTGGCTCGCCGCCGAGTCTATGATCGTCGCTTACGTATCCTGGCTGTGCCACGACCGCGCAAGGCAGGAGGCACAGCGTGCGCACGGGGGCAGCAGGTCGAAGAGGAGGAGGAGGAGGAGGAGGAGGAGGAGGAGGAGGAGGAGGAGGAGGAGGAGGAGCTGCAGCAGGATGGGGGCAGGTGGTATGACGAGGACGATTGGGAGGAAGACGGGGAGGAGGAGGAGGTGGTGATGATGATGCTGATGGTGATGATGATGGCGATGATGATGACAATGATGACGATGATGATGGTGATGATGATGGTGATGATGATGACGACGATGATGATGATGATGATGATGATGACGTCTACCACGATGATGTTGGTGATGCTGATGTTGATGTTGATGCTGCTGATGATGATGTTGGTAATGCTCATGTTGATGCCGATGACGATAGCGATGCTGGTGATGTTGATGATGACACTGAGGATGATGATGATGCTGGCATTGATGATGATGACGATGATGCTGATGTTTACTATGATGATGGTGGTGGTGATGCTGATGATGATACTGATGATGACCGTGGTGATGATGATGATGATGAGGATTATGATGATGCTGTTGATGATGATGCTGATGCCAATGATGATGATGATGATGATGATGATGATGATGATGATGATGATTATGATGATGATGATTATGATGGTGATGGTGATGACGCTGGCGATGCTGATGCTGATGCTGATGATGATGATGATGCTGCTGAGGATGATGATGGCGATGTTGATGATTATGCTGATCATGGTGATGCTGATGGTCATGACGATGATGTTGCTGAGTAATTATGATGATGACGATGATGGTATTGATGCCGATGATGATGATGATGATGATGATGATGATGATGATGATGATGATGATGATGATGATGCTGATGATGATGATGATGATGATGATGATGATGATGATGATGATGATGATGAGGGTGAGGGTGAGGGTGAGGGTGAGGGTGAGGATGAGGATGAGGAGGAGGAGGAGGAGGAGGAGGAGGAGGAGGAGGAGGATGAGGACGAGGATGAGGATGAGGATGAGGATGCTGATGCTGATGCTGATGCTGATGCTGATGCTGATGCTGAGGATGCTGCTGATGATGATGATGGTGATGGTGATGGTGATGGTGGTGATGGTGATGATGGTGATGATGATGATGATGATGATGATGGTGGTGGTGATGTTGATGATGGTGATAATGGTGATGATGCTGAATCTCATGGTGATGACGGTGGTGGTGGTGGTGGTGGTAGTGTAGGTGGTGGTGAGGAGGAGGAGCAGCAGGAGGAGGAGGAGGAGGAGGAGGAGTTGGGACAGGCAGTTAGGAAGGAGCAGGGGAAGGGGGGAGCGATGGAGAGCTTCCCCATTGCCCCTCCCCTTCGCACCCTCGACATGGTCGAAGCGTCTCCTCGTCCTCGTTCCTCTCCTCATCGTCCTCCTCCTCCTCCTCGTCCTCCTCCCCCTTCCGCTCCTCCTCACCCTCTTCTTTCACCGATACTTGTTTTTTTCCGTAGCACGCATTCAATCATCCTCTGTATCCTCCTGTCCTTCCGTGCGCGTCGTCGTCGTCCTCCTCCTCCTGTTCCTCCTCGAGATCTGCGATCCTTTCGGCGGGCATCCCCCCCCCCCGGGGCCGCCCCACCCCCCCCCTTTGTTCGCCGCGCCTCCTCCCCCAGACGTCTGATGGATTGAACTTGTCAATCCGCAGTCCCAGAGGTCTCGACCCCTTCCCCATCGGTAGTTTCCCAGTCTAGATTTATCTTCTATGGCCCAGGGGCCCGAAACCAGCCCCCAGAGGCCGAAATGGAAGACCCCCCCCTCCAGGATGGCGCAACAATTTAATCCGAGGGACATTTGGGCTGGCCGCAGCCGCGTGCCCGTGGGAGCGTGGGAGAGAGAAGATGGGGAGAGGGAGGAGAAGGAGGACGAGGACGAGGAGGAGGAGGAGGAAGTGGAGGAGCAGGAGGAGGAGGAGGAGGAGGAGGAGGAGGAGGAGGAGGAGGAGGAGGAGGATGCAGCCGCGGCCGCGCTGCCGACGCCCCCCTCGCGCGCGGCCGCGGGGAGGCACCGGCGCGCTCGCCGTGGGGTCCTCGGGCGCCGCCCCGCGCAGGAGGGCCGGGCCGGCGCGCCCCGCGCGGCGTGGGCACGCCTTGGGCTCCCCCCGGGCGTTGTGTTGCGGGCTTGCCTGCCTGCCTTTCTTGCCTGCCGGTCTGTCTTTCCCTCGGCCTCCATCCCCCTTGAGTCAAGCAGTGGCGAAGCGCCCTGGCTCGCCTATAGGCCTACCAGAGAATGTTATCAGAACCTTTCGTGGTTTGTACGAAATGTTATTAGAACATTTCTGGCCGGGATCGTCTTGTTTAACACGTGGGTGTTATGCTCTAAATGCATTGCTGTTGTTCTTCGAGCATTTTTGGGTTCTACGAATATTTCGTGGTAGGCCTATAGCAATGCCCGGACTGTCGGTCCCCGCTCAACTGAGCCAGGCGGCCACGAACATGGATCAATGGGGACGTGAATAAGCGACGGGTCCCCGTCTCCATGGGAAATCGCGGAGTTCCGCCGTCGAACGAGGCGGCGCCGGCCGCATTTTGGGGAGGGCACCTCACCCGATCCAAGGATCAGGCGACCGCGCGCCAAATCTATGGATCGTTAATCCATGCTTGCGCGCCCCCGACTGAGGTTCTGGCTTTGCATTTTTCCTAACCATCTTGTGGTGTTGGATCCTCGTTCTGAAGAGGCGGCCCCCGCGTTCCGTCCTTCCCTCCCTCTTTCCTCCTCCCTCTTGCTCCTTCCCCTCCTCCCTTCTCCCTGCTTTTCACCCACCCTGCACAGCGTTTTGATTATCGAAGGCCCCACTGCCACCGCACGCCCGCCCGCGCGCGTCACCCATACTCATTTCGGCACGCCCCTCACACGTTTCGTAGCCCCATAGGGAGCTCCACCGAATGCCCCAGTGGCTGCGTTCGCATGCGCCCACCGCGCCTATTTCGGCACACCTTTCACACGCTTCGCGGCCCCATAGGGAGCTCCACCGAAGGCGCCAGTGCCACCGCCCGCATGCGTCACCCACACTCATGTCGTCACACCCCTCACACGCTTCGTGGCCCCATACGGAGCTCCACCGAAGGCCCCAGTGGCTGCGTTCGCATGCGCCCACCGCACCCATGTTGGCACACCCTTCACACGTTTCGCGGACCCATAGGGGGCTCCACCGACGGCCCCATTGGCTGCATTCGCATGCGCCCACCGACTTATTTCGGCACACCTGTCACGCGTTTTGTGGCCCCTCAAGGAATTTCACCGACGGAACCAGTGGCTGCTCTCGCATGCGTTTACCGTAGAGAGCTCCTCCGAATGCGGTGCGTACAACGACGCTGCTCACAATTGCATATGGTTGGGTCATTCGCAAGGGTAATTTCACACCGGGCGTGTTTCGCTCCATGTCGGGCGGGAGCCTCACAGATCGATCCGGCTCTAAAAATGACGCATTAAGATAGGGGTCCAGGGCTCCTGTCGTGATGTTTTGCGATGTTGCATTTTTTTGCAACGTCGGATCTCAGGTCCTGTCCCTCGCTCTCTTTTTGTTTGTTATGTTGTTTGTTTTGTTGCTCTCTCTCTCTCACTCTCTCCTTCTCTCTCTGTGCTTGCTCTGCCTGTCTGTGTGTCTGGCTGTCTGACTGCGGGTCCGTCTTTTCCTTTTGGTATGTCTGTGTCTCTCTCTCTCGCTTCCTCGCTCCTTCTTTAGGTGTCTCCCTCGCTCTCTCACTCTCTCTCTCTGTCTCTGGCTGGTTGTTCCTCTCCATATATGTTGTTGTTGGTGTTGTTGGTGTTGCTGTTATTGTTGTTGTTGCTGTTGTTGTCGTTTCTCTCTCTCTCTCTCTCCATTCGTATCATGCTTGCATGTCTTGGAATGCTGTGATTTCTAGCTCTCGTTCTCGTTCTCTCTCCCCCTCTCTCAGTTTCTCTTTTCTCTGCCTTTTTTGTATGTGTGCACATACATACATGCATGCGTACGTGCGTGCGTGCATGCATGCGCAATGCATACATACATACACACACATATAATACAAATCAATACCGCCCCCCAGGCCCCGGGTCCCACACCTCCCCGCCACATCTCGGGAACGCTTACGGTACCACTCCCCCGGCCTTTCCTTGGAGCTTCCACCGCGCTCCAGGAGGGCCCAAGACGCTTCCCAGGAGCCCCCATAATGCGAAAGGATGGCCCAAGACGCTCCCAAGCAGCCCAAGGCAGCCTTCCGACGGCTCTCGAGGCTCCCAGGTGGCCTCCGAGAGACCCTAAGAGAGGTCCGGGAGGCGTCCAGGGACGGCCCGAAGAGGCCAACATCGTCGATGTGCATTTGTGTTTCTCCATATGTTTGGCTTCTAGCGTTTTCGAGCTTCCAACGGTCCAAGAGCGCCGAAGAGGCTCCCAAGACCGCCCCAAGACCACCCAAGAGACCCTCAGGACGGCCCCAAGACGGGACAAGAAGGCTCCAAGATTGCCGAAGAGGCGCCCAGCACAGCCCCAGACCATCCCAGAACAGGCCCAAGATGGGCCCAAGAGCGGGAGCAGGAGGTTTTCAGAGACATCTGAGAGGCCTCTGGGACCACCCAGAAGCGCCCAACACACCCCCGACCCCAAAGAGGGTCAAAAAAGACCCCGACGAGGCTCCAAGAACAGCCCAAGGCTGCGAGAGCCGTCCCAAGAGAGCCCACAGAGGGTAAAAGCGTTGATTTCCAATGGTTTTCTAATGTTTTTCGCCTTCTCACGTTTTCCCGATCTTAACCCTCGAAGATCAAGGATTTTGAAAAAAAGGGAATTCCTAGAATTCCTTTTTTTCCCAAGTGGGACTCCTACTCGGGAGATCCCACACATCCCCTGACATTTGACCGGTACCGCGCCTCAGGGCGCCCAAGGACAGCCCAAGACGACCCCAAGGAGCCCAGAACGTAAAAAACGGCCCAACACGCTCCCCCGCAGCCCGAGACACCCTGCCGACGGCTCTCCAGGCCTCCAGGAGGCCTCCAGAACCCCAAGGGGGTCCGGAAACCACATCCCTGAAGGGGCCCGGCTAACGAAACCTGCGAGGCACAAACAAGAACACAAGAACACAAGAACAGCGCCGAACAGCGCCGAGGACTTGGAAAACAATGGAAATCCTACAATTCCTCTTTTTTCAAGTTTGGCCCCCGGTCTATTCTTGCACAACAGACCACAATTCAGACCCCCCTCACCTCCCAAAGAAGAACCCAGGACGTCTTTGAGGGTCTTAAATCGTTGAACACCTAAAGGCAATTCATAGTTTCTGCGTTTCCGCACTTCCCCTTCTATACGATTCCGAGGCTCGCGCAGGGCTTCTTGCGACCAAAAAGATATTACATCAGTTAGCCTATCAAACCTAGGTAGAACTTGAGCGCGAGCGAAGCGCGCGATGTATCTAGCATATATATATATACACATACACATACATGTGTGTATACTTCTCTGTATTTCTCAGGACCCCCCTCCCTCTCCGCGTCGTAGAACAACAGGTGTGTACATGTGTGTGAGTGTGCTGAGTGCATTTGTGCATATGTAAAGTTCTCGTCGTGCAGGTTGCGGATGTCTCAAGCGAGGCGCAAGTTTGAAATGGACCGCCTGTCCTTGCATCTCTTGCTCAATTTGCAAAATCGGGGCCGCTAGATGAGGAAGTCTGCAGCAAGAGCAGTTTTGTTGAAGACGAGTTGAAGTCCATCCTCGAAGTTGTTGCTGTTGCAACTTAGGGGGATGAGCACGCTGCGCTGAGGCGAGGCCCGCCTTCTTAAAATTGATTGGCCCACTATCCTCGCAGCTCTTGAGTTCTTGAGCTTCAGGATCGTAGACTGCAGGGAGGTCTCAAGCGAAACGCCCCGCCCGGTCTACAGACTTGTCTGGTGGTGCGAAAGGAGGGGGGTGATCCAGTTGCCTGCGACAGACCCCGCCACCGTGCCTGCGCAACAGCGCAGCGGGAAGGAGGCTGAGTGTAGGATCGGCGCAATTCCGACGAGCAGTCTGCATTGTGGCGGGTCGCGATCTTGACCTCGTCTTCGTCCGCGCGGTAGGGAGGAGGAGGAGGAGGAGCAGCAGGAGGAGAAGGAGGAGGAGAAGGAGGACGAGGAGCAGGAGGAGGAGGGGGAGTAGGAGGAGGAAGAGGAGGATGAGGAAGACGTAGAAGAAGAGGAAGAAGAAACAGGAAAAACGAAACATAAGAAGAAACATATGAGGAGGACGAAGAGGAGGAGGAGGAGGAGGAAGAGGAGGAGAGGTAGAACGTGAATGTGAGAGGAAGGCTTTTTGGAGCCGTCTTCGGTTTTCCCGGGGACCTCCTGGGAGCTTCCTGGCAGCCTCTTGGGGGCCTCATTGGGCCTCTTGAGGGCCTCTTGTAGCATCTTGGGCCGTCTCAAGGGACTCTTGGCCCGTCTGACGCCTACGGAAGCCGCCTTGGGGCTCTCTCTAGGCCGCGTTGGTGCCCGCTTGGAGCGATTCACGGCCGTCTTGGGGCCATGTTCGGAGCCCCTTGGGCGAATTTTGATTCCTCTTGGGCCGACTTCGGGCCCCTTTGTGGGCCTCTTGTCTTGTTTTGGAAGGAGGCATCTTGGAACATGTGGAAATCTATTGTTTCGCCCTCGTCGGGCTCTGGAGGGCCTCTTGGAACCTCTTGTGCCGTCTTGGGGGCTTCCTGATCTTGAGGCTGTCTCGGGAGCCTCTTGGGCCAGCTTGGGCCATCGTGGCGTCGTCCTGGCTGGGCTGAAGGCCGTCCTGGAGGCCGTGAGGTTCCCAAGAAGGCCTCAAAAGAGATTCCCGTGGCCATTCTGGCTCAAGCCTTCTTGGTTCCAGGCGCAGGATACCACCCCGGCGAAGGCATCTGAGCTTCCACAGCTTGCTAGAGATCGCTCAAGCAGCCATGGGCGGCGACGGTGACGCCCTCGACAACGACGCGATCATGGTCTGCGACGGGTGCTGCTGCTGCTACGACGGCCTGCTCTTTGGGGACGGGTGCGTGGGGTGCATGGCGAGCGAGACCCTGTGCTGCCTGGAGGTCGAGTACTGCTGCAAGTCGGGCGCACCCACGCTCTGCTGCGTCTGCT